GGCTGGAGAATGGCCGAAGCAGATCATCTGCGTCTCACCTGGGGGGTTGTGTGTGCTGACCTGATGGTCCACAGCACTCTCTGTGCGAGGGGCAGGAGAGTCTGACTGGTGACCGTGGGCACCAAGTGTCCACAGCTGTCAGGATTATACCCGGAGTTATTCCGCTGCAGCGGGAGAGAACAAACAGCAACTCCTTCAAAGCCGGAACTGCCAGACAGACGCTGTACTCCGCCCACATTCATCCCTCTCGCCCGGGGGTTCCTGTTTCCGCAGAGGCAGTTCCCCTGCGCTGTGTGGAAAGAGGAAGTGTGGGCTCTCTCAGGAAGCGGATTGCGGAATTGTGCCGTGGACCCGAGTCGGTTTGGGGACGGGGGTGGGGGGGGCGATGCAGACACGTGCGGCCCTCGGCGGGTGTGGCACAGCGAGTCCGGAGAGAACGAAGCCAGTCCTGTGTTGAAACAGGAAATCCAGTCAGCAGCGGCGGGGCGCCAAGGTGCTGCTCTCTCTGAAGTCAGGGCAGGTGTGACGGACTCTCCCAGAACCCTCCAGGAGCCCTCCGGCTTCATCCCATGAGAGCATGTTCCTCGTGCCGGTCAGCAGGCTTATTCCCTCAAACGTCCTGCCTTTAGATGAAACCCGCTGGATTTTTTTAGGTGAATCCTGCCTATGCTAGAGGATATCGGAAAGGAGGTGGAAAACCCTCCCTGGGTTTTCACAGGCAGCTGCTGCCCCTCAGCCTCTCTCTCTGCCCCTACCCGCTCCCTGTGGGAGAGCTGTGACACTGATGAATGATGGGGCCGTGGGGGGGGTCAGTGCGCGATTACAGACCACCCCCCGGGAGCGGGGAGGAGGGGGGTGTGACTCTTGGGGATGGGGGGATGGGAGGTGCCGCTGATGCCCTCCCCCACTCAGTCCCCCTCCCGCCCCTGCAGTGAACACAGAGACGGAGAGACAGACAGACAGACAGACCGGCGGGCAAGAGCACACGATTCAGTGCTGACTCTCTGCACGGGCCGTGAGACATACCCACCCCGCCTGCGTGTGTGCAGCCAGAGAAACAGACCCTGGTGAAGGACAGGCTCAGTGACCGCAGCCTGGCCATAGAAACTGGACACAGACCTGGCTGTCCAGAGAGGACAG